TCATAAAATTCTGTCGGTTCAAATTAAGTGATACTACTCATTACTATATACATATATATTCTATATTGAATTATATGAATGATGCTACTCTTCTCGTTTTTTTATTATTAAAACTAGATTATTATGGTACAATATAAATCAATAGACTATTTGTTTTTTAGCATTTACTTTGCTAAGTTTTCCTTCCTTCTCTAGTTCTGTACATTCTTTTTTTTTTTACTTTTTGCTAGAAAAAGGTTTATTTAACTATGGTAGAAACATTTCACTCTTGTCTCATTAATATGTAGTATTTCAACTAATCTAATCATATGAAATGTAGATTTTTGAAAAATAATTATATTGTTTGTTGTAGAACTGATAAATTTAATAAATATAGATTTGTGATTAACGTGTAGGGCGTCAATAAAAATGAAAAAAATTTATTTGAATGGAAAAATCTCGTGCATTGGGTGGTGTTTTCATTTATAGAAATATAATTGTTTATTTTTTTAATTATAGGGATAATTAAAGAGATTCATTTATTTATAAAGTATTATGCCCACTACATCAATAGAATAAATATAATAAGAATCTTTATCACTTACGAAACCTTTTATATGAGTAAAAGTCTATAGCAACTTGAAAATCAAATGATTACTTAATTTGCATCGGAACGAACTGATGTGGATTTATCGCCCAGGAATGACTTTAAAGTATTTAACCTTCGTTATGAAAAGTCGAATAACTTATTTCGATACAATTTAAACCAATAGAATTAAATTGATTATTTAGATGAATCTTCACTTACTAATAAATATTACTTATTAAAGATGATGCTATACCAAAGATTTATTCAGAAATGAAATCATTTCCTTTGTATACATTAAGGTGTATCCTAAATCAGTTAATAATTATAAACATTTTGTTTTAATCTACATCAGTCCACACATTTGTACTGATACATATGAGATCAAAAAACAGAAAAGATCAGTGATCGTCTTCTTATGTATTTTCAAATGATTTACAGTTATATGGAAAATATGATCACATCTATGATTTAGTTCTTTACATACAAATGTTAATATTTTAAAATAATTCAAAATAACAAGAACATAAGGATACTAGAATACTTTGATATCTGTGATGTTTAGAATATACTTTAGGTACTTATTGAGGCCTTCAATTCAATCTCAGTGGTTTGAAATTCATCACAGAACATACAAAACAATCAGTTGTTAGACACATTTTTTTCATTTTCCGAATGTTTTACGGAAATTTTAAACTTTTATACCTGTTGAGTTAACTGCAAGAGAGGTAAAATACTGAGAATTAGAGAATGATCAACTCCCGTTTAACATATAGACTTTATTTGAGATCTGCTTAACAATAATTTAGTTTTCATTCCTTATTCATTTTACACTCAAAATTATTGTTGATCTAATTAGTTTTATACAATATTTTAATGGAAGATAAACCACTTTTATTGCCAATGATATCGGTGTTTCAATTTTAATGAATCTCCTCATACAGTTACAAACATACTTTCACTATTTTTATATTATTTATTAGTTTTCTAAATACACAATGATAATAAAGTTTCCTCCTCCTACTTTTGTAATGGATTCTACTTGTTTTAATTGTTTAATTTTGATAGACTGACTCGTCCGATCACTATTCTTCCATCAAGCGAATAAACTGTCTAACTTTCTTAATAGTTTATTTTAAAGTCATTCTACACTAAAATAGTATTCTATTTTTCCGGCTCTATTAACATTCTCCTTCTTCTTAAATACGCTATATATGTTAACTTTCTGTCTGACCCAAAGTAAAACGACGAATCTAGACGAAATGAAGTAGAAGAAGTATCATAGTGGCTAGGGTTATATCTGACAACAAATAACTATTACGAAGGATCCCCGTCCGCCTAAAAAAATCATCCATGTGCCTGACAAATAAGGAATAGCAAATAGCATGGCTCTGGTAAGTGCTTTCTGGGGATCATGTCCATCCGTATAACATGAAAACGTTTTTCAGGATGAAAAGTAATTCACCATATTAACCCCTTTAAAATCTGAATTGTTACTAATCTGAAACAGATGTTATTAGAGACTGTTCCCAATGATTTTCACATTAAAAAAGAAATTTTCATCGTTTTCATGCAGCAGACATTTCCAAAGTGATTACTCCTATCAATAAAATGGCTCCTGTGGTCAAAAAATTTACAGAATTCATAGACTACTTTTATGTTAGTTGCAGAATAAGAAAATCAAAATTAAATTTGTATTTATCACAAGGCAAATTTAAAGCAATTAGTCCCTTTGATAAATTTCGATAATGTTATAAGAAGACATAGTTCTGACAAGGCAAATTTTTAATAAAAAGGCAAAAGAGTATCAAAAAAAAGTGTAGCAACCTTTTAAACACATTATTCTCTTTTTTTCAATTTAGCTCTTTCTTTTATACTTTTATTCTTGTCAGTGCAAGAGTAAGTTGGAAGAAATCTAGGGGCTGCTAAATAAAAACTTGTCATCAGTCCATAAAATCAATGATTGTCGGCTTGAATCATGTAAGTAAAGTCAAACTACCTGGTTGATGTCTGCGTGATAACCGCAATCAGGCGTTGAGGAGTGAGTGACGTAACTCAGAACAGCTTGGAGTGACCCAGATATAATCGCCCTTTATCTTTCCCTCTAGCTTGAATCCCATTATCCCTTCATTCATACCTCTTCACACTGTCTTTCCAAATCATTTTCTGAAGATCTACACAATTTTTACCAAATTATTTCGATCGCTTCTGTCGATTTCACCTCATCTTGCTAATCAGGTTTGACAACTTGGGTAGACGTACATCTATCCTAGGCTCTATATTGATGATGTCTGCCTGTGGATTATTTTATTTCTCATGTATTATCACCAAAAATGAATATCTAGTCAAAATTCACTCAATTTAGCAAGATAAATAAATACTTTTCAGCATTATATTTCAAGTGTACGGTTTGAAGTAATTACTGAAGTATCAAAGCTAGATGTTACTCAAAATATCAGTACAACTAGAAACATTTTCAGTTAATCATGGAATTTTTATATTTTTAAGTTTATACCCTTTTGTAAACTACCTTATATTTAATAACAAAAATAATGATTACTTTGTGATACTCCAGTGAGTAGGAAACTGAATCTCTGACGTCTCATAGCTTAGTGTCAGTCGCTTATTCAGAAAATAAATAACAGTTTCCATAATCCTCAATTTATTTGTACGTAGTCCTTGTATAGTTGTGTAGTAAACATCTGAATGAACCGAGGAAAAAACGTTTTAACGTCGTTGATTATAAGCATTACGGTTTCAAGCTATTTGAATAAATATATATGTCGGTGTAACTGCAATAAGAATAGCATCTTTAGATGTGGCATCCATTTTCGCTAACAGAGAACATAAATCTCTTTTGATTATAATGAAGACAACAACCTCGATATTAGTGCTCAAAAGCATTATCTAAAGGAAGTATTGCTACGATGCACCGTCAGAGTTCAGTTTCGATCTAAGAATGTGTTTAACAGACAAACTGATAACGCCGCTATGGGTTTACTGTTTGGTTCTCTTCTTGAAGATTGTTTCTTGAACAATCGTGAAAACACAGTATTTCGACCGAACACTGACAACTTTCACTTATACAGGAGGCATATGGATGAAACTTTCATTTTTATGAGGAAAACAGTGACCTCAACTTCATCCTGGATAAGTTCAGTTATCGTCGTCAATCCATCAAATTTACAATGGAATAGGAATCAAACTCAAAATTTCGTTTTCTCAATATCCCACTCTCTAGAAGGCAACATGGTACATTGCAAAGGTCTATAAACCTAACACAAACTTGAAATGGACAATACACGTATTTCCACAGCTGAAAACCCTTAGGCAGAAACTTAATCTTTATCATCGAAGGCTATGTGGATACGGTAGGGAGATACGATAGACGACGAACTACACAACCTTGATAGACATTCGTCAAAAACAGTTATCTTTGCAGGTTTATTGAGTAAGACATTAAACCTAAATTGCCGTCTACAAGAACTCATACGGTCCCTAAGAAGACTCTATTGCTAATCATTCAGTTCAAAGGAAATACTACTGAAGAAAGTTTGAAGAATGCTTGAAGGAAACTTTTTATAACTCTAAGCATCGCACCGTCTTTTCCAGATGCCCCATCGTTTGTAGCTGTATCATAAACAAACTCTCTCACTAGACCACATCCAAATCGTCTATCACTCCGTGCTTCCTGTCAGATGTCGAGGTCTTCATAATCCTGTTGACGACCAGAAGATGGAGGGGGAGAGTAGACAGCCTTGTCTGACTTCAATCCTTACTTGGAATGCGTCTGTCAGCTAGTTCCCATGCACGAATTTGCAATGTTGTCTGTCATATAAATTCCGTATGATGTTGACGATTTTCTCAGGTACACCGTAGTGTCGAAGATGTTTCCATGATGTTCTATTATCCACACTATCAAACGCCTTTTCATAATCAAGAGATTTGGTATACAGTGACGCGTCTCATACAATTGATTGTTCAACGATGATGCATGATGGGTAGTTCATATTAAACTACACAATACCGTAAGGATAAATTGCACAGTCATTAAGCTAATCTGTTCTATAATAGATTTTCTTAAATGCATGATACCCTTTTAATGATCAGTGACAGATTCACTCGAATGTTTGAAAGGCGATTGACAAGAATCACTGGAATCAGCTTTTTCTCCCGTTTATCTTTAATTAAACATCAAAACTAGTTATCTACCTTAATGGTATTCTTTTTGTTGACACACTTCATATAATCTGGTGAATTAGCATTTCTAGTCGTTATTTTAAAGATGAGTGACTGTATATTGTGTAGCCTCTATATATTCCTTTCTGAGAATAAAAATAATACGATGTTGTTACTGATGCTTACAGTTCTATTGTCAGTCAAGTTACTCCACAAGAACAGACGAATACAGCTCAACAAGTAAAAAATAACCAAATCAGCTGCAGTGAAATATAATATTTGTTTAATGAATATATTTAATGAAAACTGAATTATCGCTTCTTATATATGCGTTAACAGACATATATCATCAATTTTAATTAAAGAAAGGTTAAATGTCACTCAATTCATAAATATCTTTTATATATAATAGTAACTAAGTGCAATATATGACTAATCGTGATACAGAAAGATGTTCAGTGAAATGATTTTTTCATTAGCCTCTGTGGTTTATTTACTTATACTTTTCAATCATCTCTCTCAGCTTGTCTAAATTCGCACCAACAACTTCGTCCACTTTTTCGCCACCTTTAAATGCAATAAATGTAGGCATTGCAGCTATAGCATACGTTTCGGCTGCAGACTAAAAATAAAAGTACAGGTAAGGATGATTCCTAGGAAAAACTTTAACTGTCAATAACAATAAATACCGAAAATATTGTGTTTTTCAAGGATATTAATCATAGGAGTCCATCCGACCAGCCCGATAATCTTTTCAGTTCTACTAATCTCCTATTTTCAAAGTAGTAATTTAGGTAGAAACATTCTTTTATGAGCTTTTATTATCCTGCTAGTAACAATAATGGAAGATCAGCTTTTATGAATAAAACTCAGATTCTAATAAAGGGAATCCTAATCCATTTGACTGTGCACCACAGCTTTAGTTCACAGTATAAAATGTATCAAAAATCATCACTGCAGGATAAAAATGACATCCCATTCGTCTAGATATCAAAATGTTATAAACCATGTCCGCAATAATAAGAATTACTTTCTGAAGCTTCACTAAAAATTGGAACCACATGTAATTACTCGATCAAGTTTAATAACGTTGTAAGTTGACTGCAACAAACTTGACATGCTAATTTAACGCTCAATCTTTTGTTTGGATACAACAATGTTATTGCTCAACATCTTTAATGTTATTAAGCTATTGATCAGTACTAAAGTCAACTGTATACTCTTTATCACATCTAGAACTTTTTGTCTGAATAAAATCTAAACATCAGTGGATGTGCTCCCGCTAAGATATAAACACTGCAACTTTTTACCTAAGTGTCAGAAGGATGGCACAAATGTTAACCAACTACACATATCTTGAAATAATAACTATAAATACATATTTTACTTGGTTGAAAGGATAAATAAACAAAAGTCCCTAGAACCAATTAAAAACTATAATTTATTGGTAAAAATTAGGTGCCAAAATCAGTTGATCAGATTTATCACTAAAATAATCTTTAACAAGACGAATTGAGACAACGAAGAAAATTTTGCATCAAAATGGAAAAATTTTAGAGACTTTTCATCCCATATCTGGATGGTTTAGCCACTAACCTTTCATTATCTTTCTAAATATTACTGTCGGTATTGCTTCAGAAAGAAGAATAAGTTTTAACATCTACACCACTTATCAAGCTAAAAGCCATATTTAACTATAAACGTAGACGGCAGAATAAGTTTTAAGCCTAATCTGCTTGATCTGTGAATACAATAAACGTACTTAAATTAATAATTTTGTGTTTGGATAGATGACATTCTGTATACTCAGAAATAGGCATAATTTATAAGATAGCGACTCTGAATAGATTAAAGCGATTTTTCTGATACTTTCGTTTGGGAAGTAATTATGAAAAGAATATTTGATCATATTTAACAACAATTCTGAGATTCATAACACCTACCTCCAACTCATCTACATTTAATTTTACGAATAATACATCTTCCCATTCTTCACAAATTTTGTCTAGTTCTGGAGCAACTCTTTTGCAAGGTCCACACCAATCCGCAAAAAAATCCAGTATCATCAGTCTTGTTTCACTTTCTTTGATAGCCTGTTCTAATTCTTCCTATGGTTACATAACAAGGAATATGACTTTAGGTTTTGTAAACGAACTTGTAGCAACTTGAACTGAACTTTTAGATGTAACAAATAAAGTTTACGCTGATCGCCTTAGTAAAGACACTCTATATAGAGTTAATAAAATAACATAATATTATCAATATACTACCCATGATAATTTAAAAACTCAAGTGACTAAATAAGAAACACAGTATATTATGAGCCTTCATTCGGATTTAGTGATATTAACATAGGTCCTCAGGCAAATGTGCACGTATTGTGAGAAAAACAATAAATTCACTGCGTGCCAAACTTAACCATATTAAATGATATGAATTGACGTTATAAAAATTGTTTTGTTTAACAGAATTTCAGTTTGCTAATTAGTTCTTTATCAAATCACGATCCTCAACGACATTAAACACGAACTAAAATTTAAATGCTAGTTATTTTTGTGGTCAGAGGGTTATTTAAAAAGTAGCTAATTCGTAGTTCATTATTTGATGTCAGCAATCAGAATGTTTAGTATAGATGAAAAATATAACATAAAAGAGATGAACCCTAACACTTGATATCAGTAAGCAGAAACTATATTTCATGTATCACTACAGTCAATACATCAAATAATCGCAAAACATCAAAGAAACAGGAACACTATCAACTGTAAGGGAAAGTACATGAAATAAAGTAAACAAGTTTACAATTGTGAATGAATTGTTATTCTTAAATCAAAGTAATAAAAAAGATTATAAAATTTAGCGCTTTTTGAAGGCGTTGATTAACATCATGCAGAGAAATGTTTTTACATTTTCACAAGTCGTATACAAGAATTATGGAGAAAAGTTCCGATATACAAAACGTTAAAACTATTGAATCATGAATCGCTCATATTCTTCAGTCGTTTCGTAGTTTCATCAGATAAGGGACGTTTTTAATTCTCAAATAAGTATCCTATAAAATTCCATGGTAGCACTGAATGATTTGCTGAAAGCGAATATCGTTTTTGTCTTTATTTCTGAGGGATATTACAAAACAGCACACCTTTATAAATACCGTAAGCAGATCGACTCGAATGAATAATATGTTGATTGACCAGTACAACAGAGTTAATTTTTAGGCCTTATGCTAGAAAAACCCTTGGTTTCTTTGCCTCACGAAATTTCAAAGATCTTTACAAAGTTCGCAAACGGAATGCGTGAAAACTCAAAAAACAGTTAATACAGTAGTATTTTGAGATGGCAACTTTGTAATTGATTTGGACAAATCTATTCACCAGTTCATTCTTTATCTTAAACTATGAGGTGCTTTATAGAGCAAACAAATTCTACGATCAGTAAACAGAAAATTTTTTTATTGTTTTTAGACGAAAGCTAGACACACAAGGTTTAGTAAATGCTTTTAGCCGTTACCTAATATCTAGACCAACAAGATATTACATGCTGATTGCTTTTCGGCATTGGCAAACTGAAGATTAAGAGAAGATTTACAAATTATGTTCACCCCAAAGTGAACAAATAGAAAGTTATGTAGGGAGATTGGTCACAAAAGAAACAATCATATCACAACACTAAAGTCAATCAGAGTTTTTAATCTTTGTGTTTATTGCCCGAGCATATCACGGACTACACATTCGCATTTGTCTTAATAGATAAAATATCGCCTCGATGGAAGATTACACATTCAATAGGTTTATTTTATGCCGCTTGAACATATTTTTATGTTTGACGGGCCTTGACAACATTTCATTATCTGTCTACTTCATGGATATCTGTTTAGCAAACTATGCCACATGTATTTATTTTATCGTCATTTGCCAGATTGCTCATAGGGTCAAGAAAAAACACTCAAATTTTCCCACATTTATCAAACAATTATCTATCTTAGATTCCATGGAATATTCTGCCCATCATTTCTATCTGACGAAAATGAGGCGACTATAATAATTTTTCTACACCGTGAACACAGATATTCGTTTGTGAAAATTGAAATGTCTGGTGGTCTACAGTCAAATAGATAAGAAGTAATGATTAAGCTACTGCACTAAGTGTGAGGATACTAGTCACTTTTCAAAGATTTTATTACCCAAGAATGTTTGTGACGCTAGTCTCATGGCTAATTGTGATAACATACACAAGTTAACTGCTGTTATGTGTGTAAACACGAATTCAGGTGTAAAGTAACACAGATAGTCTGAAAATACCAAAATACAGTAGAGTTTCACATTTAATATGATGTCCTCCATCCGATTTAAAGAACTCATTAAAATCGCTTACATCACTTACAAGAATTAGTATTATTTCCTTGGTATTTCAACATTACCTGTGTTCTTAGCAATGACAAGTGTAACAAGGTATATATTGTACTTGTCAAAGCGGTGAAATACAAATCCGCTTTTTAATCTGAAACGAAAATCTTATACGTACCTCAGTTTGAACTTCTCTCATCTCCAAACGAAAACAGGTGTTGAAAGTTGAAAAATGTCTCGTCTTTCTATGTATCCGAATTCGTTTGTGTAGATAAATACATGATCCGCTGTTCAATCATCAATAAATGATCAACAAAATTTTTTCCTACAATATGACATTAAATTATTAGGTCATGAAAAGAATGTAACTTAGCAGAATAAATAGAAGAAACAATGTTAATAGTTTGTGTAACGGCAATCGAATATCTAGTATCTTTGTGACAGCCCTGATTAAACTAACTGATTTCTTCGAACTCACCTCTTGATATAATGGAGTGGTTTAAAGTCTTTAATATTGTATGATACAGATAGCATGACTACTTGTTTTGACTCATTTCATTGAACTTGGTGTCTAATTGAGGTTAAAATTTCTTGAGGACAAATGGGAGCATTTGTTTTAGAGAGATGACGTGAAAGAAACTAACAGCTATGATATTACCGGGTATGAAATGCAATTGTTGTGATAATAGGGACCAAAAAATTAAATTGTAGAGCAGTTATTTCAAAATGAGTAAAAAAATCGATCAGGTGGGGATATCTAATTTGTTTGTTAACGCAAAATTACAGAATGCTTTCGTAAAATTTGAATACCATACACTAAATACATGATTTGCACACCTTTCATCGGTCGTACTTCACATGCTCCATGATTCTCCCATTAATCTTCTTATTACATTAACTCTGTTTACATTCTTGTTCTCTTCAATTCGATCTCTAATTTTCTACTGACAGACGTTTTACTTCTGAATGGTGTTACATACCACTTAGTTCTGTCAACATAAGTAGCACAAACGACACAATCAAGAAAGCTCGGTTTCTGACATTATCGGGCGCTTAAGTGTGATCTTTTTTGAATAGCCGACGGAATAAGTAAATGTCAGCCATCTTCAAGGCCTAAAGTATTGGAGATTGGTTGTTTGCTAATAAGCATCGATTTATTGGTTTCCTTTATTAAGAAGTAAAATCACCTGAGCAATTTGGGTCAGTGTTGACTAGATGAGGGTAGCTAGAGTATAATTATAGTTTGATTCAGTATTAGTGCATTTACTTTTATTACCATAATAATAGACTTAAACCAAAAATGGTAGACTTGTCATGATGTGACTACCTCATCCGTAACAATTTGCTTGTGAGACACATCATTCTCTAAACTGACTCGCCATATTGTGACAATAAGCAGTGTAACGTCTATCACTTCTGATGAAAACGTTTAAGCTGGGAGGAGAGTAAGATATTTGACACAAAAAGCAAGAGATTATTCAGAATAACCGCGCCTGCACGACCGAGCTATGCCATTTCGATTAATTGTTCCTGCGTTCACCACTTATTTGACCTTTTACCGGTTTTACATGTTGAGTGTAAATCTCCCGAGGAATTACGCCTTCAAATCTAAAGATCACCTGGTCAGGAACCAATATCACTATACTAGAAGCCATTCTTATTATCGTTAGCAACTGAATAGTAAGTCTCTTTGCGTGTATAGCACGTGATTATAACATCAGTCGGGTTTTCCTGACTGTGGTTAGTTTATTGAAATAGATGTAGCGGCAAATCAATCCTCAAAATCAGTAGCTCTGTAAGTCTTCGACATTTGATTCTGACCGCATTAGTTTTGATTAGCAGGAAGTACTCGGTCACACATCCGCACCAGATCACGAGTGGTCCACATCTCCTACAACTGCTAATCAGTTTAGATTGATCACTTCAATGACTAATATTATCGTAAAAAATGGTTTTGCTGTGGATTATGCTTTTGTGAGTAGGTGAATGTTGTGTTTAGTCTCGAAACAATGTTGTCTATCCTGTAGTGACCTACTTTTATCAAGAAAACGCGGTTGGTGTAATGGAAACAATTACTATTATAACCAACCGTACCAGTGATTGTTTTACTGTACTTGTTTGTTTAACTGTACCAAAGTTTTTCTTTCTTCCGTTGATTGTGACCTCGTATGGATTCGGTTACGCTCAGTAACCCTGCTTGTAATCTGGCATGATCTCGGTATTCTTTCGATACCACGAGATCGCCAGCAATACATCTCGACTACAGCCATCAACTGCCTTCTGATATTTGGCCTACTAGGGTTCTTATCGGTTAACTGGCACATGTCCCAGCCATCTCAACTGATTAAGTTTCACTACATCATCAATTGATTTGCCATCCTTACCTAGTATCCGTTTCCTAACAACTGAGTTGCTTACTCAGTGGTCCCAGGATATACGAGCAATGTTTTGAAGACACCTATGATCAAATACTAGTAACCTACGAATATCCTCTAGTCTTACTGGCCATGTTTCACTGCCATAAAGTAGGACGGAACGGACTGTTGCACAGTAAACTCATCCTCTGGGTGGCAGAACAATGTACACACTAAGAACATGTTATGGTTTGATATGACCACGTCTAACTTTTGTCAAACCAGCCCGGTTTTCTCTAATCTGCTCTACACGAGCGTTGGTTAGGCGTCGAAGTATTATTGAAGTCAATATTTTAGACATCATACTAGTCAAAGTGATTCCTCTGTGATTGTCACAAGAGGACTTTGTCCTTTCTTATATACGGATTTCCGGCTTTTCGATGTTAAGCTTGCTCTCACTCACGACATAATGAGTACAATCCAGATGTTACTGCTATATGGTATATTTTTAATAACAAACCCTCTGCGATAGCATCTCTGACTTCGTCTATAGTTGTCAGTTGCTTGGGTCCTTTCAAAAACATTATTGATATCTCCTACTGCTTGGCACTCAGTATTAGTTTGACTCGTTAATGTGATAGGGTTGTCTATAATACTGAAATAAAACCCGGATATCGTTGTCTTCCATTACTTCCGATGACATCATAAATAACAGTTAAGAACAAACATATGGACAGTTAGACTCCTAGGCGACAGAAGCACTTATTTTAGCTAAACAAAACTCTGATTTTCAACATCTACAATACAATTTTCAAAAGAAAACAGACTAACATTATATAACATAAAACAATTGAGCTTGTCTAGCGAAGTATATTGACTTGAGTAGAGGCAGCAAAAACCTCAAAACAAAACTGATTCAATGGATATTTGTGACAACGCTTAGAGCTTTACACTAACCTCGGAATTTCAGCGCAGAAGAAATAGCGTAAAAACCGCGGAAAGAGGAAAGTCGACCATCACTATTCACAAAGATGGAGGATATAATAATGTAAGATCCATTTTGAATGTTTTCTGTGTGAAAATCCCTCCATGTATACAACTGCAGTTTATTCCTATTGATTCTTTTAGTTGTACGTTTTTGTCAGTGTTTTACATTACATTTGAGTTGATAACATTTATATTTTATCATAGTTTTTATTTTTATTACGCTTTCACTAAGTTTCCATGTTTCTTCTTGAACTTCCTTCATGTTGTGTTTCGTTTGATACTTATTCTTGGCGGCAGCCGTAATGGTCTGTTCCTCCCTTTGATTGTGTTGCTTGTATTGACTGGAATTGTGCATTTGTTGATTTTGAATTGAAGCACTCTTCCAAATATTATCTTTTGAACGAATCTGTGCGTGATCTATCCAGACAGGATAGAATAACATTTATTTGTTGCTATTGGTAATTTTCTAGCATCCTTTTTCAACTTCCTTGTTTATTGTAATTTAGATTTGATTAATTGAACTATTATTGGTTGGATAGCTGGGTGATTATATTTGTTTAGGTAACGATGTACACTTAAACGTATAATGAATTATAGAACCGTCATCTTACGCGATTGCCTTGTTTTGGTTTCGAACGGGCAAGGGCGTGTATCTAACCCACCTATACAGCTATTCTTCAATCCAAACCCTAGTTTGGATCTTACAATAATTCCCGCTTCATTCTGATTGGTCGCTGAGAAAACTGACAGGATTACGAAATCCAGTTGTCTTTAATTACATCCAGCTCTTCCCCTCTGACTTCTGATTTTGCTGGGTTCTCATGTCTTGATTATAGACGTTACTGGTTAAAGTGTTGTCAAATTTCAAATACTTGTGTCATTTTTAAGAGCAGAAATGTATTTGTATTGAACCCTAAACACTGATTAGCAATTTCTAACGGCACGTAAAAAATTACGATAAATTGGCGAATGAAACTGATAATAGCTGTTGTCGCTATAATAAAATGTGTTTGAAGTCTTTAGATAAGAGGATACAGCAATGAAGAAAAATGAGTTGTGTTATGCATCAAGGTGGACTGGGTTAAATGATGGAAGTAAAGTCGAGGTTTAAATAAGGAACGCCGTTTAACAGAATAGAAGGTGCATCCAAAGAGAGAAACGTGTTCAGCGACTCTAATAACTATATCTTTTATCGTCTGTTCTGACTAAAAATAGGGAAAAGTGCTTTTGGTACTGTTGCTGTCATACATTATTTTGAAGATGCACAGGTATTCGGAGTTTGACAACGCTTTAACCAGTAACACCTTCTAATATGAATCGTACCCACCAAGTGAAATCAAAAGACAGAAGTGAGGAGGTTCGAAAATATATTTGATAAGCTATCAATTTATCGAGGATCGTCTGAACTAATCTGGCTAGCGACTGAGGCAGATGTTGAGCACGGCGTTTCCACACGTGATCTGATGCGGATGCATGACCGAGCGCCTTCAGCTAGATGAGTCCAATAAACTAATGTGGTCAGCATCCAATATCGAAAACTTACAGAGCTATTTATTTTGGGGATTTATTTACCGCTACAATACAGATTTCGGACGAAGTATGTGTCAGCCTTCTAAAAAAGTTTTTTCAAGAAGGAGACTAGTGGCACGAAATTATATATTGATGCGTTTTGCAAGAATATTTCACACATCAACTGGGCCAAGTATATCTTAAGAACTACTAGAGTCTGAGTACACTTCCAGCTTATCTAGTATCTACGAGTCATCCAAAGGTCTATTTCTTGCATAATCGAAGTAGCTCATTGTGTTTTTCTACGTATCACACCGTTAGTGCACTGCAAATAACGAAAAACTTAAGTAGGAAGAAATTTTGACAAACGTTGAATCTACAGTGCTATGTTATGACAAATATAGAATTTTTCTCAGCTATTAATTTTTCTAGGAGGTGGTGCCTAATATCTGACTTGAGAAGTCTAGTAATTGGCGCCCAATATTTAAATTAACTATAAGACAAAGCCAAACTGTCTTTTACTATGTGGGTCCCAGCCCTAA